TTTATGACAGTGTCATGTCAGTCTTATGCACACCCCGTTAAAGTGTTACCAAACCTTTTTGTAGGTTCTACAAGTCAATCATGATCAATAAAGTTTTGCTTTTTGATCAAAATAATTACAGAAAAATGAATTTAATGTGAAAGTGAAAACTGATTTTGACAAAATGTCAACTAAATAAAAATATATAACTTAAAATAAATGATTGCATAAATATTCACTCCCTTTAAAGTAACTGACCTAATTAAAAAATGTTCCAGGCAAATAGTGCTTCTTTCATAATTGGTGAGATGGAGGTTACCTGAGTGCAGTGACTGTATCTCAAGTGATTGTATTATAAAGACACCACTTAAGGTCCATTCATTGATTAATTAGTATTCCTGGCTACCATTACAGCAAGAGGACAAAATAACACTTCAAGAAAATTAGACAAATTGAGAAGTCAGGGGAGTGGATACATGTGGCACTGAACTTCCCCTGGAATTCAAGACCTTCAGAGATTTTGGGGAGGAATATAGTGCTTGTATAAATCCAGCAAGACCAGTGTTTCCCAATCCTGGTCATCAAGGCACACTGCCCTGCATGTTTTAGATCATGGGTGCTCAATACATCGATCCTGATCGACCGGTCGGTCGCGGGAAGGTTTTGAGTCAATCTCGGCAGTAGGTGACAAACTGAGACCAGCACGTCCTCTTCTGACGCGCTTATTCACTAAGATCCAAAACATTTAGAATTTTATTAAGGAATAAAAGAAATCAACAAAACGTTTTCAAATTAATGACCTAACAAAAATAATAATCTCAGCAATAATTGTTTCAACAAGGTGTTGCGCAATTCTATGCGTTTCGGTTCCATTACCAATAAAAAAAGGTGACTCAAAGACGGCCTTACACAGAGCAAGGGTTTAAAATTAGCTCATCAACCACCATTGTGTTCAGGGGAACACTTATTAATACTCACAAAATAAATATCAAGCCTGAAAAACTAATATCGTAGAGAACTGAGTGTTATGTTCTTAACGTAATATCTGCTCGGTTTGCAGAGCGCAGGAGGTTGCCATGGCAACGGGTGCACTTAAACAACAGAGAGAGTGCATCATCAGGGAGCATTGCTACACACATTGATGTGGTAGCAAACCAATCTGGAAGGTCAGATGTCATCAAAACTTAAACACTTGCTGCTGGACTCATACTGAACTGGACCGTGTAGTGCATGGATGCAGGAACAGTGTGATGATGGGGGTGGCAGAACACCAGAGCAGTGAGGGCCCCCTGACGCTACTTTCAACTTTAATTTATAAAACCTGCATTTTGTAGAATTCAGTTTTCACTTTGAGATTTATATTTTAAAAAATTGCCAAAAAACTCAAATTTTCTTGATCAAGACTGATTTGTAAAAGCACTGAGGGAATGAATACTTTTCAAAGGAGGAGTACCTTTTGTGTTTCTGAAATTTGCACAAAATCGTGTTAGACCAGTAGCAATCACAGGATTATTGTAAAACTTTAACCCACTAAAACCCTTTTTATTTTCTCTTACATATTCTTTCATTCTTTTGCTATGCCTGATCTTTCTTTTTTGCTTTTTTTGCTCTTTCTTTATGTGCTTCTTTCCTCTGAACTCTCTCTTTTTCTGTATTTGTCTTATTTAAACTTAAAACCCTCAAAGAATCTCAAAGTAATTTCCAATTTGAATAGTGTTGCTGAATGAGGTGCATTCACTGATCAAAGACTAGGTTCTTGTATTTACAACCGGCCAGTCTCAGTTAGAGCCAACTGAGTTTAAACTCGAGTCACCAGCCACATAACTTCATCTCTATTTTACTCTCCATTTCCATCTTGATAAATATTTCCTGTTTGTATCTGAACTTGTGTTTGTGTAGGTGGCTGGCAATTCGCCTGGAGTTTGTAGGAAACTGCATTGTTTCATTTGCTGCCCTGTTTGCTGTTATAGCCAGAGATAGCCTGAGCCCAGGCATCATGGGGCTCTCCATCTCCTACGCCCTGCAGGTAAAAGCACCACTTCGGTAGTTCTCAGCACCAGTGTCAGTGGAGCAATGTCTTTTTGCAAAATGTTAATAAATTAGTTTAATACGCTTTTGAGCCTAATCTAACCTGTTTTTGTTTACTTCATATGCAGCTGACTGCCTCATTGACGTGGCTCGTGAGAATGTCTTCTGATGTAGAGACAAATATAATAGCTGTAGAGAAGGTGAAGGAATACTCCAGCACAGGGAAAGAGGTACACTGCACATTCTTTGGACCAAAACCATACTAACATTGGGATGTTTAAGGGTTGACTTTTGTCCTTTTTATTTTTCTGTGGTTATGTGGGCTTGGCTTTGATTTTGGGCTTAAACGCTGCAACATGTAAATAAATATTCCCACCAGGGCTTTATATTGTTAATTGATTTTACTGTCATCTCATTAAACAGACTTAATATTAAAGAATAAATATTAGAAAAATATATATTTTTTATAAACTACTATATACATCATTCCTAATTTGATATCTACACTTAATAATAAATTAAAACAATTCCAAGTGATATGGGCTTATAATTTCTATCAAAGATTGTATTTAGTCATTTGAGTCATTGGTCACCTGAACTTTTTAAAAAGTTATTTCTGTTGTAAAGAGCTTTCTGTTCTCTGGTTTGAGTTAAATTCTAAAATAAGTCTTGTAATACCAGCTATTCTCACCACATTCACATTTTCTTAAAAGACTTGCGAGCATGCAAATACCCAGAGACCTCAAAGCAGTTCAGATTGTTCAGCTGATCTAACAATAGTAGACCACCTATCTTTCCAACTCTACGCGTCATCATGCCCTTGGCACACAACAGACACATACTTATCTCCTACTGTTGTTTGCAGTCATTTCAATGTTCATAGTTCATTGTACCACATGCTGTTTATAATCTCTCTGTGCACTGGCCTCAGTTCCATGGGATTTTTGAAATGCTTCAGCACAACCTTATAAAATGCATTGACATGGTTTGATTACTGTGACTTCTAGAATTGGAGACTTGCCATCTTCAGAAGTGATAATTACAGGGCTGTTGAAATTCTATCATTTAGTAACAAGAGCAGAATGTAAAAAGGTAGTTCTGGAAGACCTGCTGGGAGCAGTGCGTGGAAACACTTGGAAGTATTGATCTCAGGGGAAAGGGGGAAATCGATGCCTTCTAAGCCAAATTGCCTATTTGAGTTTGACATTGTTTCAGGTCTATATGCACTCCACAAAGGCAACCATGCTCTAAAACCATAGTTGGAAAAGGTAACAAAGTGACATCAATAAACAATCTGTCAACGGTTTAGTCATAAGAAAGGGCAAATGAAAACCTAACCAAGTTAGGACTTTGGCTGAGCTTGATTGTGATTCAAAATATGATTCGAGTATTTGCATTCATGTCTGTTCTCTGACCACAGGCAGAATGGCAACATGAGTCTCCCTCCGTTCCCCCTGGCTGGCCCACTCAGGGCTGCATAGACATCCGAGGCTTTGGCCTGCGCTATCGCCATGACCTGGACCTGGCCATTCGCAATATCACCATTGCTATTAACGGAGGAGAGAAGGCAGGTCTTATTGTAGCTCTGATAAGCTCAGGAGTACTCACTGTGACTGAACACTGGAGGAATTTATTGTGGATGCTGCTGGTTCCCAACAGGTAGGGATTGTGGGGAGAACTGGTGCTGGGAAGTCATCTCTAACACTGGGCCTGTTCCGGATCATTGAGGCAGCAGAGGGCCACATCTTCATTGATGGAGTGGACATTGCTAAGCTAGGCCTCCATGAGCTGCGCTCCAGAATCACCATCATCCCACAGGTGAGTAAATAGGATGCAAAAAAGCAATCTCGCCTGATCAGTGCACCTGTAGCAAAGCAGCCCTTAGTGGCTAGATTTACACTGGAGACAAAGGCTGAGGTAGTGTTTATATGGCACAATTGTCGGGGCTTCCAATAGAAATGAGATTCTGTCCCAGTCTGACATTTGGCCACTCTAAATTGTCTCTGCTCCTTACTATAGGAGGAAACTTACAAGCATACCAAATTGAATCATTCCACCTCTGTTCACAGAATTCTTTTTATTTATATTTCTTAGGCCCAAGCAGGGAAAGCATTGCAGAGGCTTATTGTAATGTAAGTGGTTCTTATCATTCTCAACACAAAAGATGTGCCAGTGGACTTCCAGGACCGTCTCCAAGATGGCGGTTTAAATATTTAATCTGTCCTAATCAGAGACGAGGAAAACTCGACTAAAGTCGATAAAGGGATTCAGTTCTTCTTCACAATGACATACTGTGCGTGAAGTTAGATCAAAAAAGAGATCGGGGGGCACTAAAAGTCACAGCCAGTTCCTGCCTGGCCATGGACCCAAGTGAGAAGAGCAAGCTAACAACTGCTAAGGCTATCCAGAATCTATGCAACAATGACAAAGAAATGTGAAAGACATCATTGCATTGATCAGCTTTAAGAGTGAAATGAACAAGAAGCTGGAGGAGGTCAGTACGAAATCAAGGTGCTAGACTAACCGAAGCAGAACAATTGGTGATCTTTCACAGATATGACATTAGAGAAAATCCTAAAAGCGTCATAGGGAAAGAAGATCTTCTATGATGGCAAATTGATGTCATTTGCGCATAATCTTCCGACAGAGATAAACAAGAAGCTTAAAGAATACAAAAACATCAAGAAGAATCCCAAAGAGGAAAAAATATGTTTCCAAACACCATACCCGACTAAGATGAGGATTCACTGGGAGACAAACTATGCCTGTACGTGAGTGCATCAGCAGCAGCGGATGACATAAGGAAGGGGGGATACCGGGTAGATATGCTGCGATCAACCCCTGCAAACTAAGAACCAGTGGTCAGCCAGGATGCACAAAGGGGCCAGCTCGTACTGGCGTTTGGGGCACACTTTATGCCCCAAACGCCAGTGCGAGAAAAGCTTCAAGAATTCTGATGAGAACAAGTATAAATAGCTGTCTTGATGCAAATCCTAAATACTTATGTAAGATCTGAATCCCACGCTTGTAATCTGTCTTTAGTTCTAACACCTGAGTCCCCTCCTGCCGCCCCTCACATATTAAAACAAAATTCTGATCAGGATTAATGGAGAAATTACTGTCTCAAAGGTGAGGGAACTTTGTCTTTGGCAGAGAAGGAGCCCCTAATTAGAGTAGGGCTGTTCTTCTTAAAATGTAAGGAAAGAGGTTGTAGGATGACGTGGGATAGTGGAGCCCTAAAGTCATCCTGTTTGTTTTACGTTTTCAAAATCTCTGTTGTTTTTGTGCTCACACTGTCAGCATGTGCAAACTGGTGTACTGATATGACTAATAGTGATATTAGAGCAGCTTCATGGAATGTTAATGGACTCAATAATCCTGTCGAGAGGAACAGAGTAATGTCCGAGATAAAAAGGGAGAAAATTCAGATTCTGCTCCTTCAAGAAACTCATTTGTCCCCAATAGAACATGAGACATTGCAAAAATGTTTATTTAGGAATGTTTTTCATAGCTCATACAAGACAGGTCATAAAAGAGGAGTTGCAGTACTAATACATAACTCCCTACATTTTGAACTTATTAAGCATATATGAGATAGTGAAGGCAGGTATATATTGGTTCGGGGTAGGATTGAAGGGAAATTGGTTACCCTTCTCTCTATCTACATGCCCCAAATTCTGACCATCATTTTTTGAAAAAAAGTCCTAGAAGTTATTTAATCAGAGTCATAAGGTAATATGTGCAGGTGGATTTAATACAGACTTGAATAAAAATTACACATCTAATAACAAAACCCTAACATAACCATTACCCACACCACAAAGTAAACTGCTAAAAAGTGGCCTGTATAATATTGGTTTACTGGACGCTTGGCAGGAGAGGCACCCAACAGGAAAAGATTTCACCTATTTTTCTCCCCCTCATACAGTATTTTCAAGAATAGATCTCTTTTTGGTTCTTATTAATGATTGACAGAGAATCAAAAGCTGTAAAATTTGTTCTAAAAACTTATCAGATTACTCACCAATATATTTAACACTTAACCAGATATGAGACAAAAAAAATAATAGGGAGGCTAACTACAAGCTTGCTAAATAAAAATGTTATAAAAGAAATAAAAACAGAAATAAAATACTTTCTAGAATTAAATAACAACGGAAAGTTGATATTTTGTGGGATGCGTTGAAGTCCCTTATTAAAGGCAAGTTTATATCACTAAGCACTGCTATTAAGAAAAAGAAGGAAAAAGAACTAAATTAACTAGATGAGAAATTAAAAGAACTGGAGATTGGAGAACATGCAAATCAGAACTCAACTTGATCAAATCAATGTACAAATCCAAAAGATAAGGAATACAATTTTGGACATATATAAAGAAGAGGAAGAAAAAATATATAAATTCCTGAAACAATCATTTTATGACACAGGGCCAAAGGAATCAAAGCTACATGCAAGAAAAAAAAAAAGAAAAAAAAAGCAAATGATGCAATCAGTTGGTTCAATAATTAACCCACAAACAGAAATATTAGAAAATAGTTTATAGAAGGTATTGACAAAGTTTTTCAAGTATATTATAAAACATTATGTGCATAATTAGAACAAAGTAAATCTGGAAATGTTTAAATATTTCACAATTCATTAGACATACCAATAATTCGAGAACGTCAGAATAAAAGCTTCACAAAGCATATTATTGAAAAGGAGCTAATAATGGCGATAATAAAGTTAAAAAACAATAAAACACCTGGTACAGACGGTCTTTCAAGTGAATGGTATAAGGTATTTGAAAAAGAGTTGTCCCCTGAATTATTAAAGTTATTAAATAGCAACACCACCATCATGGTCTGATGCAATTATAACATTAATATTGAAAGAGGCAAGAACAAAACATGTGCAGCTCACACAGACATATATCAACCAAGATTACAAACTATATGCATCTATCTTGTCTGATAGGGTGAAGGCATTTGTCTCAGAACTGATTGACGAGGGACCAAACCGGGTTTGTCTGGCTGACAAACTCAGGACAATATAAGACGCTCCCTCAGAATATACAGACAAGCAATCATACAGCAGTAACGGCTAGCCTGGAAGCAGAAAAGACTTTGGGATTACTAACTTTTAATTTTGGAACAATTTGGTTTTTCACAAGTGCAGTCAATTGTATTAAAACATTATATTCGTCACCTACTGCTAGAATCAAGATAAATGGTCACCTAGCAGACAGAATAAAGCTTGAGAGATCTGCTCGACAAGGCTCCCAACTCTTGCCAACTCTCTTAGTACTGTACATAGAGCCTCTCGCCCAGGCAATTAGGAAGAACAATGGCATCCATAACATAGTAATAAATTCAAGAGAACATAAAATAGCCTGATATGCTGATGATATCCTCCTATATCTCTCGAATCCAGAGCAATCCATCCAGGTCCTTTTAGAGTTATTAGACACATGTGGCACCTATAAAGGGACACAGACTAATCTGTGTTTTATCTACATAAAACACATTAGCAGAGCTTAAAGATAAATCCCCTATTGACTGGTCTAAGAAAACAATCAAATTGGGTGTATGGTTGACTTACTTTCCAAATGACTTCAGGGTTTCCCCCAGTGTATTGTAAGCCTGGCGGCCCGGCATGCTTTACTAGCCCCACCGCCAGGCTAAGCGTTGCTTGTTTATGTTTTTAGGGGGGGAGGGGGAATTGTTTAATTTATATATATATATATAAATATATATATATATATATATATATATATATATATATATATATATATATATATATATATATATGTTTTGTTTTTTTTAAAGCTGGATTGCAAGCGTCTCTGTTGCTCTGAGCATTTCACTAGCGGAGCAGGTTTATTCCTAAAGGATAGGATAGGTTAATAGATAGATTTATAGCTTATGCATTTAGAGCCGGCAGCGCGTGGACAATAACACAGCATGCGCCTCTGCAATTTGCCTCACGCGCTGCTGCTGCTTTACCTCACTTTACCTCAGTGGGATCACGCGAGCCTCTTTTCACTCGAACTGGATCAAATCAATGTAACTATCCATACAGACTGACCTCAATGGATATTTACATCGACTTACTGTCAGGAATTATGTCTCTTTGGTGAAATGAAGGTAAGAGTTTAAAACCCGCCGTGTTAGCTCTGGTTGCGCAGCTCAATGTGAACCGCAGGAATAACTTGTAGTGAATTCAGAGGTGCGTTGAGTGAGCGGTGAAAATTATTTATTTTTGTGAACAAATAATTATATGTGGCGTTTGCATCTCAACCCGCTGCCCAGCATGTGGTTCTGTCTTCCCTGCAAAGTTTATGCATGTGGTTCCGGTTGACCGGAAAGTTAGCGGTTAATGAACCAGCGCTAACTTCATCATGCAGATTCAGCCCGGTGAGGAGCTTTCGCGCTCTTCTCGTTGTCACGCTTCACACTGGTTTTATATCATTTTATTATTAGTAGTATTGTTTTTCCGGTGACACAATGCATCAAACCATATCAGATGCTTTGTCCACTTAGTCAAACAGAGTTAATGCGTGCAAGCGGAGATCTGAAAATCACAGTTTCTGTGACTCTTATTAAAAACTCAACAGACATGAAATGTTAGAGCTACTAAAATCACATTAGCAGCATTGAATTAAATCTCCCGTTCGTTGCTCATCTCTCCGCAGTGCAGCGGGTTTAACTCACCATGCAGGGCCGGTCCAGGGCTGTATGAGGCCAGTGGCGCGACTCCACATTATATAAACAATTTAAAATCTTTTAATTTATGTTTGCTGAAACCATTCAATCAAACTTGGCAGCATTGATCATCTCAATAAACAAATGTTACATTTATATATATGTGATCTGTGTTAAAATATTAGCATTTATGGGGCCCCTAAAGCCCTGGGGGGCTTGATGGAGCTGCTGACTTGATTTGGATTAAACAGAAGTGCAAATTATGGATATTCATTTTAATTGGATTTTTTGATTTGTTGTTTTTAAGACTAGCTCTGGGTTTAGATATAATTTCACTGGCGTTTTCCCGCACCATATAATTAGTAATAATTTTACATTTCCTGTCAACTTAACATATTTTAATTAAAAAACATGGTGGACTGCCTCGGCGCCCCGACCACCTTAGCAAGTTTTCTGTGGGAAACCCTGGACTTGTGCAATAAAAACTTTGAAACTGTAAATAGGAGAATAAACAAGACCTCACACAGTGAGGCAGCGTGCATATTTGACTTTAATTCAAGAATTGAGGTCATTAAGGTGTCAGTTTTACCTAGGTTATTATACCTATTTATTTCTTTGCCTATCAGAATCCCTTATTCTCAGTTTTGTGAGTGGGATAAACTCATATACCGTTTTATTTGGACAGGACATAAACCCAGAATTAAATACAGTACTGTTATGATTACATTAGAAAAACGGGGTTTGTCACTCTCAAATCTCGCAGCTCAACTTAACTTGTTGGTCTCAGGTTGTCATTCACAATGACAGGGGTGTCAAACTCCAGTCCTCAAGGGCCGCTGTCCTGCAGTGTTTAGATGTGCCACAGGTAAAAAACAGTGGAATGAAATGGCTTAATTACCTCCTCCCTGTGTAGATCGGTTCTCCTGAGCCTTGCTAATGACCTAATTATTCTTTTCAGGTGTGGTGCAGCAGAGGCACATCTAAAAGTTGCAGGACAGCGGCCCTTGAGGACTGGAGTTTGACACCTCTGTCACGAGAGGACCCAAATTTGGGTCCTCTCGTGACAGACAGGTTAAAACAGTAGCACAGTGGTGTGATTGTACTTGCGAGGATAGATGGAAAGAATTAGATAGCAAGTGTGGAAATATTCCAGTAGAAGCTCTGATTGGGATCAGAATCTTGCAGCAGCATGCCAAATAAAATTTGATCTACTGGTTTCATTTACTCTATTGACCTACGAGTTCACAGATGGGCCTCCTTAGAGTCTGATTTTACCTCCAACCAATAAGACTCCAGTTTTAAAAACTGGTCAAAGAAAGGAATAACCACATATTTATCTAGAATACTAGATAAAAATACATTAACAAGCTTCCAAACACTAAATCAAAATTATGATTTAGAAAGAGGGACTTCTGGGTGCTGTAGTGGCACAGGGGCAAAGCACAACCCACATATGGAGGTCTTAGTCCTCATGGCGGTAGTCGCAGGTTCGATTCCCGGCCTAACAACATTTGTCACATGTCCTCCCCCTCTCTGATTACCCTCTTTCCTGTCAGACTACTTTCAAATAAAGGCCACTAGAGCCAACAAAACCTAAAAAAGGGACTTCTTTAGATATTTGCAATTCAGACAATATCCTTTTTTGAACATACTGAAAGAGTTTATCTCAGAGTCAACGAGATAATTCAAAGCCTCTCAAACTTACTCCAAACCTGGCATAGCCACCGAACTCCAACCTCTATTAGGGATTGTTGAGAACCAAAGCAACATCAACTGATTATGTTAGGAAAAGATGGGAAAAAATGTTGGATACACAAGATCCAATGGGATAATATGTGTGAATCCGCTGCTTCAACCTCCTCCTCAAGCTATTGGCAAGAGTTCAGCTGGAAAAATGTTATGTTTTTTTTTTTTAACATCAAAGCAGCAGTTTTATAAAAACCCCAAAGCATCTTAATGTTGGAGGGACTGCGGGGACACAGTTGCAAATCATCCCCACATTTTCTGGTCCTGGAATAAGATCAAGACTTATTGGAATGATATTTTGGGAAAAATCGAGTCAATTTTGGCTCTTAAACTCCAATAACCCACCATGTTGTTGTTGCTTGGAGCCGTTCCTGAAGGACTGAACAAGTGTGTGAATTATATCTTTATTGTTACTAAGACTATAACAAATGTATGAATGGTTCCTAGGAAAATTCAAATAAAATGTTGGGTTTTTTAAAGTTTTTAAACAGTATTATCAAAGTCCTGCAGCTGATCATTTGATTCTGACATGTGAAAAAAGTATTTTTTTTTATTTGTAAAACTAATACCAACTATAACTTTGCAATACTCTCAATATTCCTAATTTTAGCACAGTGTAGTGAAGAGTTACTATAACATTACGACTTTATTCTTGTACAACTTTACTCATATTTAAAACACAAACCAAAAAAACTCTTAGTCTGGCCCTACTCCATCATAAGCAAGTAACTAAGTAACTGTAGCTCCCAGAAAAAGGCCAGGAAATAGACAAAGCCTACCTTTTAACTGTTAATGCAAAGTGTTTTGCATTTCTGCTGACAAGCTGAAATATAAACAATATTGCTGCAAATTTTGCACAATAGAAAACTCAATACCTTGTGAAAAACAATAAGTTTGAAAAAGCTGAGAAGTAATCAATGTTTACAGTTTAAAAAAAAGTTCTAAAACCACACATCCAGTGACTCATTTGCACTTTCTCTCTTCCAAATTGAGTAGTCTTGATTAAATGTTACTGATTGGCTTAATAAACTGAACAGGGAAATTGTTTTGAAACGGAGAACAATGAAACAGCTGTTTCGGTAATCAGGTCATATAATGCCATTGGTTTGCACAGATAAATTATTAAATATCAGATTTGCAGTAGTATTTCAATTTGGGAGAAGAAAGGACACTGGGGGGGTTGTGAAAATCTTTTTATGATTCCTACGGCGGGCATGACAGAAAATAATTGAGAAACACTGTAGAGTAACTTGAGCAGTTTCAGATTTGTCCACAGTGCCTCATAACTGCTTAATTAAAATAAAAACAAAGGTGTGAAGTGAAGAAACTAGTACAAAAGCTCAAGAGGAAACTATGAACAAAAAATGTAAAGGTCACATCACTCTTTTTTTCAGTATTTCAGATTTTTTTAAATAAAAAACTAGCAATTATTGATATAGACCACAACTCTTTTTTGCGTATTAATACATTATATTATGATATGGGTTTTGGTAATATTGGCCAGACCTAGATTGGACAAATTTCCTAAAACCGCATACAAACTCAAATGAAGATCATCCCAGGAGAGATTAGGTAAAGGTTAAGGCTAGGCTAATTCTAAAAATACACCTTTAGTATCCTGATATTACTATCTGCTCACCTTTCAGGACCCAGTGCTGTTTTCCGGATCTTTGAGAATGAACCTGGACCCCTTTGACTCCTATTCTGATGAGGAAATATGGAGGGCTTTGGAGTTTTCCCATCTCAAGAACTTTGTCTCTAGCCTACCCAACAAACTCAGCCATGAGTGTAGTGAAGGAGGAGAAAACCTTAGGTATGAAACCCTTCTTGTATTTTTTTCTAATTATTTGATGTTTTGACCTCCTGGGTGGAGTAGCTCCCATCTGAAAGGTCTTGACTATATGGCAGTACAATGTGATGTACTGTAATACTTCAGTATATTTTATAAGTATATAAAATATATCTATGCATAAAATAGTGCATAATTATAACATCCATGACAACACATTTCTCCAAGTGGGGAATGCTTTTTTTATTTACCTGTTTGACTATGTCACCCTAACACATTAATATGCTCAGATTTAATTCATTCCATTGTATCTCTGGTTTGTTGTTGTGTGAGTTGCTAAACCCCTCCCGTCTAACTCCTTCACTGAGAAGTTTAATTGACTGAAGTTGTAAGCCCCCTCAAAATAACTTCCTATTTTGAAAGGTTAAGATGTAAAAAACAATTTACCCCTCCAGTACTTTTGCAGAGTATAATCCACCTCAGAATTTATAAGCTATTTTTGCACTGCAGGGCCTGGCCCAGCTGGCCTGGTCCTATTGTACACTAGCCTGCATCCATTAACCCTTGATAACCATCGATAAGTTCAAAAGCCTGAAGGTAGTACTCACCAATCATTTGTCACTAAACAGGAATTGAATATAATTCCTTTGTTGAAAGGTTGGTTTTTGACCTAACTTTAAAAACTTACTTCTGGACTTATGTTGAATTACTGAACTGTAGACCATTTGGAAGATTTGCCAAGTGCATCGCCTAGTGGACATGTGCATAAAAGGTCTGAGAATGTTCACGACGGCAATAGGTGGCAGTGCCGGAGATCCTGCGGTTGCTGCAAAACCGGGTGGCCCTGAACTGTGAGGGCTGCCAATGCTGAACTAATACAGCAGCTTAATGGATGCCAGGTATAAGATAAATTAAATAAAGCTTACTGTAATCTTCGATTAAATAAAACACATGAAAAGAGACTTCCACAGGTAGGATGTGTTGATAAGAAATCTGCTGAGTAAGCAGTACGTGACGTAGCATCGATGTGCGAATGCGCATTACCACAAGATAGGATGGGTTCATGGGTAGTACAGATCACCATAACAATCGAGTGACAACTGAGCTGACATGGCAGACATTACGTTCAAGTACCAGGATTCTACAGTGGCTGACAGGTGTAAATGAACTGCAAAAAGGTGTATGATGCACACTCCAAAATGTGCAAATGCAAAAAAAAAAATGCTGCAACCTCAAACATATTTCTGCAATCACAAACAAAATGCTACAATCACAAAAATTGTACAATAACAAATAAAACACTTCAATTCCGAAAAAATTGAGCAAGGGGTAGAAATGTTGCAAATAGTAAAAACAACTGCAAACTCGCTCCACAAAACGGAAGTGCTTCAGACCAATAGGGGGAGTCGAACAAATAAATCATATTGGACCAGACCCGCAGTAAAAACAAGAAGTGTAAGCATTAAATGGAAGTGAGTACACTTAGTGTTGCAGTACTTGAGACCAGTCTTGATACCACTTTTTGATGGTCTTAGCCTTGTCTTGGACTCAGCTGCATTTGGTCTCGGTCTCGGACATTGAGGACTCAGGATTTTATTTCAAGACCAGTCAAGATCACAACTGTAAAAATATCAGTAACTTGCCAGCACATTGTCCAGTTTGTCAACATCCTTGTTTCCACTGGATGCAAAACATACCTGTTCAAATCCAAGCAATAACGTGACTTTTTTGTTACTGCTGTCAGGCACTCCACTGTCTTGGGGGACAAATTCCCCTACATACACGGGGGAATTGTTCTGCCATAATCCAAGAGCACACATGTTCAGTCTGAAAGTAGGATTTCATGTGTTTTGTTCTCAAAACTTGTAATACTTTTGATTATATTTTTATTTTGAAAGCAGGACTTCATGTCTTCTTCTCTAAACTTGTGATGTGCACATGTGCGATGACTCTGAATAAAGTCTGCAATATAGTGATGTGACATTCACAAACTAGTCAATTCTTCTGAACGGCTCTTTACTATGAAGGATAGGACTGGAATCTCACTCACTTTGTTTTTGTGATTGTTCAAAAGACCCTTATATATAGTTTAAGTTTGGTGTTGAGTATTACTCTTTGTATTATGTGTTTTCTGTTCAGCGTTACTTTTGTCCCTTAAGGGATACCGTAGTTAGGGCAGTGATGACGTCAACACCTTGCCGTAGCCAACGTTGCTGGTATCTGGTGGGGAAGTTTGGGTAACCGAGCCGCTGTGCTAACACGTGGGAAAGACCACAAGATATGTGTTCTCCTTAAGAGTGTGCGTCATTGATGAGTAAGTTGTAATATCTGAGTGTTTACTGCAGCTAAATGAGTGATTTGAAGTTTATTTGTTTGCTATTATTTCACCTGTTGCTAAGTCCGAGCTATATGCTACGTGTGTATTGTAGAGCGTTGTGTTGAACATACATATCTATTCTCAGTGGAGCAGAGGCATGGTTATTAGTTAACTGTGGAGTTAACTTGCCTTAGTTTGCTTAGTAATATTGATTTAGAGGTTTCCTTCTTAGTTTATCTAAGTTATAATGGCATGGTGTAATGTGTAATGATAGGACACCTTGAACTTATTTTCTGTATTTTGTTTATTCTAGGAAACTACACACACCTTCATTTAGGCACACATTTATGCCCATCCATGTTCATTGGATTAATATCTGTGGTACAGTTTGGAATACAGAACAGTTAAAGGATCCTGCCTTGTGTCTTCATTAAACATCTGGTGCACCTCATCCAAACATCTGGTCCTGAGCTAAATCCTGGCCTGAGTGGTGTTCTGGCCAACACTCCAGGTTGAGAGCGGTGACAAACCTGAACAGCGCCTAACAGTCCTTCAACTTAGAACAAACTCACTTACAGTGATGCTCTGCGCACACTGCAGTAGCTATTATTATTCTACTTTATTAAAAATAAATGTTTATGTATTTATCGAATACATAAAATACAAGAACATAATATAACACAGAGTGCATGCTCCTTGCTCTTTGATTATTTTCGTCACCTGTCATCTGTTCTACCTGGTTTCATGCAGCGGAAGACGGAGGTGAGGCAGTCATGGTGTGCTCCTTTTGCTTTGCTTGGTTATTTCTTGCTTGTTGCTCCTTGGAAAATGTTCACAGTTGAGCGTTGTTTACCATTAGTGCATTGACATGATTGTTTAGTGGTGCAGTTGTTAGGGGCAATATGAGACTTCTTCAGACTGTGGAAAAAAAAGTGTTTGAATTGATAGAATTTATTTCAGCTCTAAGTATTTAATATCTGGGTGATTTTATGAGAATGTGGATTGTTCAGATCAATTTGAGAAGCAATTTTGATCATGTTCCACATTTTATTTTGTCATGTAGCACAGGTCTTGGTCTCGACTTGGTCTTGACTTGGTCTCGGACCTTAAAAGTCAAGGTCTTGTCTCGGTCTCTATGCACTCTGGTCTTGGTCTTGACTTGGTCTCGGGTTGTGAGTACACTATTAATATGTCAAAAAAAGTTGTTTTAAGATGTTTTTAGGTGAGAAAATAGTCCTCATACACTATATTACCAAAAGTATTCTCTCACCTGCCTTGACTCATATGAGCTTAAATGATATCCCATTCCTAATCCATAGGGTTCAATGACGTTGGTCCACCTTTTGCTGCGAGAACAGCTTCATCTCTCCTGGGAAGGCTGTCCACAAGGTTTAGGAGTGTTTATGGGGATTTTTGACCATTCCTCCAGAAGCGCATTTGTTAGGTCACATACTGATGTTGGACAATAAGGCCTGGCTCTCAGTCTCCGCTCTAATTTATCCCAAAGGTGTTCTTTTGGGTTGAGGTGAGGACTCTGGGCAGGTCAGTCAAGTTCATCCACCCCAGACTCTGCCATCCATGTCTTTATGGACCTTGCCTTGTGCGCAGATGGACAATCATGTTGGAAGAGAAAAGGGCCAGCTCCAAACTGTTCCCACAAAGTTGGGTGCATGGATTTGTCCAGAATGTCTTGGTATGCTGAAATATTCAGAGTTCCTTTCAGTGGAACTGAAGTAAAAGTAAAAGTACCACATTAA